CTCTTTTAATAAAAGTATAATTAATTAACATAAAATAATAAATAAATATAATAAGAGAAGCAGTAAAACAGGATTTATTTTCTAAAATATGAAATTTATTTTTTTTTTCTTAAAATATTTTACGGAAGGTTGAAAGATGATTTGAAAAATCATCATTAAGTCCTAAACAATAATCTTATTTTAAATTTAATGATTAATTTATGTTATCTAATGCTTCATCGTTCTGTCCTTACTATTCTGCATAAAAATCAGCATGATTATCAACTATTTCTAAGCATTTATCATTAATCTTTATTGCTTCTTGCTATTTTTGCAAATTTATTAGGCAATCACCTTATTAATTTTAATAAATATACTTCACCATAGCCAAAGTAATATACTAATTCAGATTAATCCTTTTAAGTAACTTTGATATCATATTATAAGATTCATAATCTTTATATGTCCTTCTTAAAATGGATACAATTTTAAAAATAATTCTTAAAAATTTTCCTTAATAATATTTTTAATTTAAACCTTTACCAAATTGAGCTGCTGAGTTTTTTAGATTTATTAAAATGCATAAATCAGAATATTCCATTTTTATTTAAAAGACTTTTACTCTCTTATATTTTAATTTAATCAATATTATTTTAAGACTTCAGCATCATACAATACCTATTTTATATTGTAATAATATTAATTATTCTTTACTAATTTGTATAGTATTTTTAAACTCTTTCAATTATGTAATCAAAAATGAGTTATTCAAATATGGATTTTATCGTTAGCATTGAGTATTTATACACTAATGATATAATGGTATAACTTCATGAATCATTTCATAAACACATTATTAGGTATTGCATATTCTTATTGTCGGAATCTTAAATTAGAGAATTTTTTGTATCATCAATTATTGAATCAAGATAATTATCGATTGTCTTGAAGGAAGACTAAAAGATACAATTTATGACATTTTCTTTACTCTATTTCTAAATAATAAGTGTCTATTTTTGATTTAAAATCTTGCCAATGACTTTTTTATTTCCTGGTATTGCTATTAAATATCATTTTTAATTATTAAAATAAAATAACCAATAATAAAATTTGCTTTTGCAACCAATAATCAAAATTATTAAGAAACTATATTGTTTATAGAAAATAAATTATATTAATTTGATAAATTAAAAAGTTCTCTAATAATATTTTTGGTTTATATTAATGATGAAATAAGCGATTTGAACTTAAATATTTTGCTTAATTGTTATTATTTAATTGAAAGTGCTTTTCATAATTTCATGATTGAAATTATCCTGATTTTTGAATGGCTTTCTTTTTAATTCATAAATTATATATAGATATACAATATTTTTAAAATTCTAATCGTCTTGATTATCATTCTAAGAATTATTATGGATTGAATACAAAATTATTACATATCAACTTCAATTTAGTATAAATGGTTGTATAATTAACAGATAATTTTTTTTAAATTAATTGAATCTTTATTAGTTCTAATTTATGTTTGTACGAGTTCTAAACTTCATACAAAAATAATGGGATAAAATTTTTATTTGAATATTAGTGTTTAAATTAATTGATTCAATAATTATTTTCTAGTTTGATATATCGTTCTCTAACCTATCCTCAATTATTATTTCTTATTTTTTTATTAAGACTTAGATCTCTATTATGAAATTATAATATATTATTACTAAAATGGTAGTAATATTCGTAAAGTAAAACTAATAATTTATTAAATTAATTTTTTTAGATAGATTTGGTAGAATTTAAATTATAAGATACTTTTGATAATTTAATTGTAAATATTATTTACTAGAATTATAAGGATGACAAAAGAAGTTGATATTTGTTTATTATAAATTCCATAAAAAATTACAGAAAGAATCAAATGTATTTGTAAATTTAAATATTGCTTTATAGTAATAAGCAGATTGAATAGAAAAAGAAATTATTCTAAAAATTCAAATCAACATATGAAATCAAATAATCTCCTATTTCTAACCTACAGACTTTAGGATACCATTTTCATATTCTCTTAAATAAACTGTTTTGCAACAACCAAGCCAAGAATCATTAAATTTTGAGTCTAGATCAATCCACTATCCAAACTTTTTGCCTTTTTCATCAAATTAACCCCCGCCACTTAGATAATAGAGTTTTATACATTTTTTTATTTTAATATATAGTATCCCATCTTCCTTACTTAATCCCATTATAATAAGTCCCTTAATAAATGACTTCACAATTTCTAAGTTTTAGAAACAATTTATAACTTATTAAAATTTTCATGCAAATCAATCCAAAATCCATTCTTCTTTCCTTCTGAATTAAAATCACCTCCACCTCTTAATCATACTCTAGATATTTACATTGTTTAGTCCTCAATTTCAGTTTTCCACGTCCCAAATTTCTATCCTAATATATATTCACCTTAAAAAGTTATTAAACAACTTCTTAATAGATGATTAATGGAGAGATACTTATTATAGTTTTCATGTATGTCAATCCATCTTCCAATTTTAATTTCATCCTGATTATATAACCCTCCTCCTCTAAAAATTACAAATTATTATACATAAAGTGATCTTCATAGATTATATCCCACTTTCCCGCTTTCTGACCTTTATAATATCCACCAACAAATGTTATTTGCATCCAACTAATGATAAATATAATTATTTAATGACTTCCAGAATTATTTATGAACATCAATCCATTTTCCTTTCTTCTTTCCAGATTTATTATATTTACCCCCTCCACTTATAATTATAAGATTAGTTTTACATTCTTTAAAATTCATGGGATGAACCCCATCTGTACAAAGTATCCCAATTTCCAACTTTAATTCCTTTCTCATATCCTCCAACATAAATAACTTAGGATTAACTGATTGTTTAAAAAATAAACATTACAAATAAAAGTTTTCCTTCAAATCAATCCAAATTCCCTACTTTAATCCATCTTCATTATAATTTCCTCCTCCACTTTTAGTAATTAATTAGTTATGATTTACATTATTTAATTATCAACTAATATTTCCCATTTTCCTTCTTTTTTCCCATCAGCATATGAACCAATAGCTTTTCCATCACAATTTCTAATTTATAAATTTAAATAACAAATTATATATACTTTCCATAATTAGTAGGTAATTCTGTCCATTTACCATCCTTATTACCCTTCAAATTATAATGCCCTCCTCCACTTATATATAGAAGTGATAAATTTACACTATTTAAAATTCCATTGATACTTCTTCTCTATACATGGCATTCCATTAATCATATTTTCGACCATTCTAATACCTACCTACATATATCACTTAAGCAAACCTTAACTTAATTAAAATTATACTTGCTAAACTTTGCTTGATGATTTATCCATTTTCCGTTTTTCATTCCTTATTAATCATAGCAACCTCCTCCACTAACAAATTTAGAAATTTATACATTAATTTGTCTTTAAACATAATATCCCATTTTCCTTATTTTTTTCCATGATTATACTCCCCGATATAAGTGATATGATTTTAGCTGAAAATTATATAGACAATCTATTACCTACTGAATTTTTAATATAAATCTATCCATTTGCCTTATTTTAAACCATCATCTTAATAATAACCTCCTCCTATTGATAAATTATTAACTGAATCTAATACTAATATATATTATTAACTTTAAAATTAGACAGTTTTCTCATTTTCTTCATCATTTTCATCTGTCATATCATTTTTTTCAATTTCAACATGTTTTACTCCCCACTTCTAAATCTTTTTTCCCTCAAAGTAAAATCCAAAATTTATAATTTTTGTCCTTCTTGTAAATATTGTAAATAGAGAATAATTATTACTCCCAAAAATTTTCAAAAAATTCAATCCAAAAACCAATTTTTTAATTGTTTTCATCTACCATACCTCCTACATTAAAATTTTCTCCTTTCCAAACTTATTAATATTGTTTTGATTTAGAATTTTTATTCAATTATAATAAATCTGATTAAACATTTTTCATCTAATCAAGATTTTTAGTAATTTATTCCTGGAAGCTTCTATTTTCAATACTTAAACTAAACTGATGTGAAAAATTTACATTCTTAAAATTTAACCTTCCTACATAACTATTCTATCTAATCCTCCAATATTAAATATTTTGAAATCTGCAATTTAAAAATCCCAAACATCACCCCCATAACAATAGTTTTAATATCCTTAATTTACAATTACTTTTTAATTTTTTGCGCTTTAACTCAAATTTTATATTTATTTAGTTAAATTTAATTCACTTTTTATTTTATGATGAAATTCTTTGGATTACTATTCTAATAAAGTTTATAAATCTTTAATATTATTCAATTAATTTGATTAAAAAATTTTCCATGCTTAAAAAAGATTGTTCTCTTAAAATTTCAATAAATTATATTATCCTAAATTGGAAAAGTTATCTTGATTTTTGTTATTGATTAAAAGGTTTTTAAATTCTTAATCAGCTTTTTTAAACAAATTTTATAGACACTTTAGATTTTCTCTAATATCAGAGATTAATTATTAGAATATTTATTTGAATTAAATTGCTCTTAATTATAAATTACAGATCAATTAATTTTTGTTTTGACTTAATATCCCTGGTTTAAATGGGTTATCTTAATTTTCTTAATCAAGAATATTATCTATTGGTATTAAGATCTAATGAGGAAAATCATGACAATTCAAACAACTTTCACATAGCAATCGCTTGCAGTTATGTTGATCCAAGCAAATATGTGTTATTGCATCCATAGTATGCTCAAAACAGACTAATATATTTTAATTCATTTTTTATTTTATTTTTTTTAGATACGCGCTTTTTTTAATTACAAACACTTCATCATTAATAATGAAAATAAGAATCAATTTTATATTTAAAAATATTGAATAATCTCGTTGTTAAATTTTTAATCTCTTTTATTACAAACATAAGGTCTTATTATCCATTGCTAATTCAATTAATTTAATCATTGAAACAATAGTTTAACATTTTAAAAAAATACCTGTATTCTCACTTCATACTGATTTTATTAATATAATAATTTAAATTTGTTTATACCCAAAAGATAGTCCATAACTAGTTAATATAATTTCTTATATAATATAGATTCACTAATTGAGATTAGTTTTTATAAAAAAAGGGAAATATTCTTCTAAAAAATAACTATGGTATGGAAAATTTGTTCAAAATCAATTCTAAATTTTAAAGTACTAAGAAGATCTTCTGTATAAACTTTAATCTAATGTATTTTTAGTAACATTTTAACATCTATCTTAAAATAAAAATTTCTGAAACTTTAGAATTATATCCATATTAATATAATATTTTCAAACTAAGGTGGAGAGAATGAAACCTAAGCAGCAGAAAAAGTCTAAAAAATAATTTTGAAATTAAGTATTAAATTGATATTTCTTAAATAAACATCATGGGAGACTACCAAAGATAATAATAATTATTATTTTATTATAAAATGGATTGATTTTTAGTAATATTAAAATTCACCTGATTTCATATGAATATTAATTCAAATACTTCAAATTCCTAAATATTAGGTTGAGCTTAACCAAACAGGTAAATGTTTTAAAGACCTAAGCCTTGATCACATTAATAAGTGTTTCCTAGATAAGAAAAGCCAGTTTAAAAATCAGAATTCATTTATAAATCATGGCCTCCTCCAAAAGCAATAGGGTAGTCTTTATGGCGGCATATTGCATATTATTTACGTTCTTATTTTAAAGGATATATTTGATCATGGGTTTATGAGAATATAAATGAAGAACATGAATCATCTTGAAAAAATTAATAATTAGCATCCATCTTTACCCATTTGCAAGGAGTATAGGATCCAAATATAGCCCCACTGCTAGATTTAAAAACAAACAACAAATTGTTTTTACCATTTACTTTTGCCAAAAATATTTATCCATTTAAACCATCTTTAGTTCCTTAATAAATTAATTAAGCCTACAAAATAGTTTTATCTGTTTTTCTCTCTATGTAATCTTATATTTTTGATAAATATTATAATTTCAGTAAGTTAGATTTAATATTAGTTTAAAGTCTTCGATTTATAAATTTATTTAAATTACAATGCTGTTCTGAAATTTGTTTAAATATTTCATTAATTTTATTGATATCTGGAAATTTCTCTTTTTTCAAATCCTTAAATTGATTTAATTTCTAAACTTAAAAATGAAAAATTTTATCATTTAAATAAGCTCCATTATTTTATATTAAACCTTTAATATATTGATGCAGGTTTTATTCACTGCTTTTAATAGCCTAAGGACAAACAGTATCACCTAATTAATTCAAACTATTAATTATTTCCTTTAATTGGTCAAGTTTAACGATCTTGGTAATAAAAAAAATTACTTATTTTAAATCATTTCTGATTTTTTATTATAAATCTTGATAAGATTGGAAAAATAATTTAAAATCCTAATATAGTTTTGTTAAGGTGCTTTGCATTTCTAGGATCTCTTATTCAATCTTTTTAAGTTATTAAATCGGAAAATTTTCATCTTAGTTATCTACTTCAATAAAATAATTAAAAAAATTTTTATCAATATCCAATTTAGAAATTAAATACTCAGGATATGTTAAAGCCTAAATAAAATTTCATTTTACTTTAGTGATTTGAATCGCTTTCTAATATTTTTATAGATTTTGTTGCTCTTAAAAAGAGTGTAAGCAGATTTCACACAAATATTAGGTTGTATCTGATTAAGGTAGAAAAAAAAGTAGTTATTATCCTTCATGTTAAAGACAATGTATTGAATTCATTTTTTATTGATTATATTAATAAAAAATTAAATAAATTCATATAAATATGAAAGTAATACCTATAAGAATTATAGTAGGTAATCTTTCTCAATTATTATTATTATAGTTAACACAAATGTAATAAATTTAATTAATTTTCAATCCAATAATTCAGTATCTATCTAGTTTATACTAAAATTTACCTAATAATCATTAATTAAAACGAATTTTAATGTTGAAATATTGTACATTTGTTATGCATTTCTGATAAAATAAATAAATTAATAATGTTTAGACTAAACATTCTTGTTACTATGCTTCTAGTATTACAAAGTGCAAATAGTTTTTTACACTCAATTTATGAAGAATTTAATAATAAAAAGATTTCATTAGCTAATACAAAGTGGATCTGTGATGATTACATTACTCATCCAACCTAAGTATTCACCTGTAGTAAAGGAATGGATTTAGTAATATTAGAATAAAAAAGTTTAACATGCCATAAAATTGTGAATAAGATTGACACAACTTGGCCTCACTTTAGGATCTAATTGTATGTTGACGTTTATAGTTATAATACTATTGATGGAAATGACTATTTTTGGGTAGGCATTTCGGAAATTTTTTTATCAGAATCCTTGTGTATATCACCTTATAATCCTTTTTGTGAAAAAATTAGATAATTAAAACAGTGTTCTTCATATAATTAAATCTCGTTAATTCGTAAATCATACTTTAAAGAAGTTGGCCATTCTTAGCAATAAGTGAGTCTTGAAATACGAAGTGAAGCTGATTAATCATTTGATGATGAATCCTATTTATTTAGAAATGTCTAAATAATTTTAGATAGATGTTACAAAACTTGTAAGACTTGTTCAGGTGAAGGAAAGGAATAGTGCTTATCTTGTTACGATGACATTGTTTTGAGTTCTAATAATTCATGTGATTCTTGTAAGAATAAAATGGTTGATAATTTCCTACAAATTCCAGATGGATGTAGAAATAAATGTAATAATAATTATGACTATGATGAAGATTAAGTATGTTTTGAAGATATAAGTAATAAATATTAATATTTCTTAGATCTTTAAGTTAAATGTGAAGTTGATTGTGAATTATGTACTAATACATAAAGATGTTTAATTTGTAAAACATAAAAATATCTCTATTTTGGGTAATGTATAGATCAATGTCCAAAATACACAATAGTATATGGAACTAATTGCTTAAGTGATATTGATATTCTTTTAAAGAATAAAAATTTAAGAATTACTGAATTAGTCAGAGAATTTCATGATCTATCAACAACAAAAAGATCTATAAATGCAATATTTTAAATTACTTCAACAAATAATCAACATAGTTTCTAAAAAGGTAATGATATTTATTATAGCTATTTTTCAAATAAAAGGATATTTGGAGGACCATTAGTTTGGGTTAATGCAATTTTTAAATTTACTAAAAGTTGGAATTAAGAATTCTAATATATTAAAATATTTTTTGAAGTTATTTTAGGGGATATTGAATTAGATAAAAATATATTTACTTATAAAATAAATGATTAATAATAGGAAACCATAACTTTAAATTCAACTTTCTAAGGAAATAATCCAAATATAGAAGATCAAATATGGCCTAATGATTATAAATTCAATATATATAAAGTAGAAAAATCAATAAATAACTTAATATCAACAAATAAGTAATTAACTATGGAGATTATGTGTTAAAATATTAATGAACTTGGATTTTGTGGAATTTAGAATATGGTTGTAATTGGATTTTCTAATTGTGAACCTGAATATAATTTTGGCTTGTTTAATTATGAGACTGGAAGGAATCCTTGCATACCAATTTGTGGTGATAAAATAATAGTTGGAGATGAGGAATGTGATGATGGTAATAATGATCCTTTTGATGGATGTTTTAATTGTAGATACCAATGTGAAGAGCATTGTTCTGATTGTTTATATGGTTAATGCATTGGATTGTAGTGTAGTAATGGGTATTATTTTAACTCTTATAGCAATTTATGTGAGACTGTTTGTGGAGATTCTATCAATTAAGGTAATGAATAATGTGATGATGGTAACTCAGAACTATGATGGATGCTCTAATTGTTAATTGATTTAATATGATAAATGTGATTTAGAACTCGATATTTAAAATTATCATTGTGCTGTCTGTCATTATGGTAAATGCATAAAATGCAATGAAGGATTATTATTGGATGGCGATATTTGTGTTTCAATTTGTGGAGATGGTCTACTTAATCTATTAGATGAAGAATGTGATGTTTAAAGAGGAGATGGATGCATTGATTGCAAAATATAAGATGGTTATGTTTGTGGAAAATAAAACTATTCAATTTGCAAGACATGTGATATAGAGTGTACTTAATGCTTTAGTTTAGATAAGATCAATTTAATTTGTTAAGCATGCATTGATGGTTACTATCCTGTGGAAGATAAATGTTAATTATGTGATTTAAATTGTATTACTTGCAAATAGCAATCAAATTTATGTACATCCTGTTATAGACCTGATTGTGAATATTGTGAATCAATACCTGGTCTATTTGGAGACAAAATAACTAAGAAATGTAATTCTATTTGTGGAGATGGAATTCTTGTTGAATCCTATGAGTAGTGTGATGATTATAATCTAAATGATGGAGATGGCTGCGATTCTCAATGTAATCTAGAGTACTCAGATAACAGTATTAATTAAATAAAGTATTATTAATCTTTAGCAAATAATACGTATGATTTAAAACTAATTACTCAATAACCATTTTAATTTTAATGCAACATTGTTAATATAACCATAGAAAATATGGATTCTTAGGATTATCACTATAATTGCACATAAGTCGACACCTTAACTTGTAGATTATAATTTGATTTCAAGAAATCCATCTATAAATTCAATATAATTCATGTAAAATTAGGTTTGACAAATTCTATAATTAGATTACTTTTGGAAAATGAGAAAAGTATTCAATTTGATATAACACCAAACGAGTTAATTATTTTAACCTAAGATTAAACAAAATAATCAGAATAGATAAAAGGTGCTCAATAATCTTTTAATTTTGTATTTCTAATAATGATACCTATATCGATTATTTTCAACCTTTTTAATTACTTATGGGCAGTTCTAGAAATATTAAGTTGGATCAATAATTTCTATTTTCTAAATGTTGAATATCCTTTTAATGTAGAAATATTCTTTTTAAATAGTGATTGGTCAAATCTCATAAGTTTTCCAACTTATTAAGGATTGAATCAACCTGATTGTAATTATTATTTTGAAGCTCCAAAAAGATTCAAAGATAAAGGAATAGATCCATTATTCTTTAACAACATATAAATTCCGTTTATGCTTTTGCTATTTTCTATCATAATTTTTCTAATAAACTATTTCTTTTATTGGTTCTTTTCTCTACTTGATAATGCTTTTACACTAAAATTATGTATAAAAGAAAAGCAATTTAGTATTTTTAATATATAAATAAAAAAATAAATTCGTTAAAATTAAATCAAAATTAACCAACAAAAGATAGTTAAGAATCCATATTTGAAATATATTACTAATTTTTTAAAGTCAAATTCAGTTTATCTCATTAATTAATTTAAATAAACAATTTCATTATGTTTATTAGATATTACACTGGCTATTACGCTTTAGTTATAGTATTCAAATAATAATTCAAATATTATAGTAGGTGTAAATCAATTTTGTGCAGTCATAACAATCGGTATTATACTTTATTAATTGTATAAACAATATTATATTTTGAATATTCATAAGCTTCAAGCTAAAAGTAAACATTTTGAGGAATTATATGGAGTGTATTATGAAAACATAAATATTGAAAATTCGTTTGGGTACTACTATTAATTTTTTGAATAAATAAGTAAAATCTTTTATATATTTTTCATGGTTAATCAGTATTATACCCCTCTATTATAGGTAACTTTATGTTATTTATCCTCATCTTTATGCTTTGTTTTTTTATTATATTAAAATCCATATAATTCCAAAAAGGAATATGTGATAGAATTAATATCAAATTTTTGTTTAAGCACCATCATATTTATAATAATTTCATTTGCAATTAATAACCATAAAAAAGTAGAATTTATAGATTCAAACAAAAATATATTAGGTTGGATAATTATTGCTTTAGTCCTACTGGCAATATTAACTTAATTTTGTATTCTAATTTTTGAATTACTTATGAAAATTTACAAAATCTTAAAAATGTTATGGATTACTGCAACAGGATAAAAGAAAAATAATGGTGATGAACAATAAAAATAATAATCTGAGTAAACACAATCATAATTGAAAATTAAAAAAATTAGTAATTAATAAAACAGTTCAATCCAAACTGATAATCCAAGATTTTCAATAATATTATTTTGAATATCATATTAAAGAAATATTAATATCTAATATTAAATGAATATAGGTAATCTTTGGTTTAAAAAACGTGATAATTACCTATTATCTAATTTATAATCATTCTGCAATCTTTATTAATTTGCCATTATTAAAATTATTCAAAAAACTCTTTATCTCCATTTTTTATTAAATTCCTTTTAAATGAAATTCATATTTTTTAAAGCTCTTTAATGAAAGGAAAATAATATCAATGAGGGTTTGAAAATATTTTTAACAAAAAATTCAGAATTATGAAATCTCAATGAAGCTCCGAATTCTATTCTAGCATTTAAACTATGCTCTATTGATAAAATCTTAAAATTATATTCATTTTTCAAAAAATTCAACAGGTGCTTCATAATAATAATTTTCAATAAAACGATGAAGATAACAGTCATAACAGAAGCTTATGGATAGGCACAACAGGCATCAAAATAATAATTTAATTTCAATTTAATATTATTTCCAAATCTTATCATCCATAATAATTATGGTCTATTTTGACACATATTTTTCATAATTGATTTTTAAATTAATTTACTCGAGAGCATTCTTTAATTCATCATCCAATTATGGCGAATTAAAATTATT